TATATATATAATAGGATATCTATATATATATATATAGTATATAATAGAATCTATATATATGGCTTGCACTACCTGGCTTAATGAGCTAGTAAATACGTTCTCTATACAGGTAACACGTGAGGTGAAAATGTTTTCCTTTTTAACAACGCCGCCTAAATTGCGAAGACTCGGCCTCTCGCCCCCATGCCACGGAAACGCGGCGCAACATTCGTGGTGACCGGATGGTGATCAGGCCCCCTTCACCGCTCTATATAAAGCCGTCGACCTGGTCACGGGTCGCACTAAAGCAGGTTGGTGTGTGTGGTGAACATAAGACGGAAGTGTGTTGCTGTCCTTGAGAGGCGAAGATCGGAAGATAGAAGATTAGGAGGAGGAGAGGAATGGTTATCTTGAGGTTATCTTGAGATGATTTCGGGGCTTTAGTGTCCCCGCGGCCCGGTCCTAGACCAGGCCCTCCACCCCCAGGAAGCAGCCCGTGACAGCTGGCTAACACCCAGGTACCTATTTTACTGCTAGGTAACAGGGGTATAGGGTGAAAGAAACTCTGCCCATTGTTTCTCGCCGGCGCCTGGGATCGAACCCAGGGACCACAGGATCACAAGTCCAGCGTGCTGTCCGCTCGGCCGACCGGCTCCTAAATGGTAGAAGAGGAGATGACAAACATTCTTCTAGCAGGGTCGACGTTCGATTCCCGATAGTCCACATGGCAGAGCACCGTTGGTATTCTGACGCTGCCCATCTCCCTGTGTCATTGTTACACTGTCTCATCTCACCACCACGTGTTCCTAACGTTCGTCCCCCAACGTCAAGAAAACGATCTATGTAAAATGCCCTTATCCTAGCCAACCAGAGGACCCAAAACAGAAAAAACGGGACAGTACCTCACTTTCGCCAGCCGCTTCCATTTTCTAGTACGACCATTTTTGGTCTTAGGTAACGCATACGAGCGAAAGTGTGATCCTGTGGTCCTGGGTTCGATCCCTGGCGCCGGCGAGAAAAAAATAGGCAGAGTTTCTTTCACCCTATGCCCTTGTTACCTAGCAGTAAAATAGGTACTGGGTGTTAGTCAGCTGTCACGGGCTGCTTCCTGGGGTGGAGGCCTGGTCGAGGACCGGGCCGCGGGGACACTAAAGCCCCAAAATCATCTCAAGAAGATCTCAAGAGATCGTTTCAAAGTCCCTACTCTCGTTGCTCCGTTGAAAGCAGCGAGTAAAGCCTGGACGAACATGCTAAAAATATACCCATCCCGTTGTGGAAAGGGACACATAGACACATAGAATAGGTTCTAGGCACTTTTGGGACCTGTTTTAACTTATAAAAGTACTAACAAAAAACTTCCTAAAAGTGCTATAAGTACTATAGAAGAACACAGATTCTACCAACACAGTACTCAAAGTACCCATAGAAGACGAGGAAGGATTGATCACGGGCCTATAAGTCCTATTAACCTCTAATGGGTAATTAAAGCTGCGACACGAGCCGGCGAGTATACCTTAGTCCTGAACATATCTGAGGGGCTAAGGTAAACTTAGAGTGTACATACACCGAGAAGCGAGGTACACACACACCTCTTGGTGTAGGGGCGTGCTGTATACACCTCCACCCTGTAGAGTAAATACTACCAGCGTCAACCTGACCTCAGACACCCTTGTTCGAGTCCATGGCCACGGTCTTTCTTGGGGTCAGGAGGGTTGGGGGGGGGGGGGTAGTGACGGCGGTACTGTAGCTAGTCTGCTACTGGTACTGTCACATACCAGTCCACTACTGGTACTGTCACCAGTCCACCACTGGTACTGCCACCAGTCTACCACAGGTACTGTCACCAGTCCACCACTGGTACTGCCACCAGTCCACCACTGATGGTGCAGGGGATGAGGGGGTATAAGGGTGCAGAGGGGGGTATATAGGGGTGGTATAAGGGTGCAGAGGGGTATATAGGGGTGGTATAAGGGTGCAGGCATACGAGGAGGGCAGGAGACCCACCACCACTACCCTGCAGGAGGTAGTGGTGGTGGTGGTGGCAATCAGTACTGACGAGGTAATCACCACATGTCAACTACCACACCCCCCCCCCCCACCTCAACCACCACCCCCCTCAACCACCAGCTTAAGCCTCCTCCTCCTCCTATACAACTCACACCTCACAGGAATGAGCTGTGAGCAACCCAGCCACTCAACTCACACGAAAACAATCGCTCCAAACACCCCCCCTCAAAAAAAAAAACACAATTCACACAATGTTTACATTCATAACTTGCGTTACTACAGCGTAATTACACCCTTGGCCGCCACCCCCCCTACTCCCACCCCCCCTGACACGAGATTCATTCATTCAAAGTCAGCTGGGTGACTGTTGTCTATTTGACTGGGCACCTCAGTATGGCTGGCCCTCTTCCATTCATCCCGTCTTCTAGGGGGGAGGAATAGGGACCTCTCGTCATCTTGAGAGGGCGAGAATTCAACTAGGTGAGTATCAGGCTTGTATACTCGTCTAGGTGAGTATACACGGGTGTATACTCGTCCAGGTGAGTATACACAGGTGTATGCTAGGTGAGTACACACAAACACACACACACCCATGTATAGAGGCTAGTCTACTTTCTCTTAACAAGGGTCAACTACTGGTCGCAAATTGCCTCCACTCGCCTCATCTTCGCCTGTTGCTGTGCCCTCGGGCAGGGGGCAGGGGGGCAGGGGGGGGGGGAGACCACCCATATACCCCCATACCCCCATAGGGATCCTTTCTCTCATTCATATTTTACTCCACAGCATTTTAACCAAACAAACTAATTGCTTTTCAACCCCCCAAAAAACTCACAATGGTTGCTTTGTTTAAGGTATTAAGGGGTATTACGCTATTTTTGGAAATTTTTATTTAATATCAACCAAACTTTTTTTTTTTACTAGTTGTATATATAAGAAGGGCTGCAATTGTTCTACCTTTCAGTATAACATCCTATATAAAAAGGGTGGGATTTTATTTTTTTTTTTCAACGAATTTTACACATTTTCAATAATACTGTACAACCACAATTTTCAAATGAAATCATTGCTATGACACTCATTTATCACATTAGCATATAATAAAGGATTTTTTTATAAAAAAAGGATAATCCAAAATATTTTTAGTTTTACTAATACAAGTAGTCAAAGCTCCCCCAAAAATATATATGCCAATATGTCATGTTTGCAAATATTTATAAAATCAATAAATGATCTTAGGAATAAAGTGTTCTATAAAGTTTGTAGAGATCTCAACTCTTACATATAAGGTGTAAATTTCATGTAAATTGAAAAAAAAAATGAAAGAGGAGAGTTAATTTTATGTCACTTGACAATATATATAAGATCAAACATTCTGCCACCTGTGGTTGGAGAACAGAAGAAAATGTATATATGCTGGGTAGCATTGTAAATGTCTGGCCACGTCTGTGGTAGAAAATAATAATAAAAAAAAAACCTGTGGTTGAAGTTCACTTCAACCAATTTCCTCCAAAATTTGCACCCTTACAGATAGGCTTACGTTCTGTAAGGTGTATAAGTTTCATGCAAATTGGCTGATAAAAAATATGAGAAAAAAAATCAAAATTTTAATTTTTTTAATTTTTGGGGGGCATAAAACTAAATATTAAAATACTTTATTATATGCTATTGTGATAACTTAGAGTCATAGACATGATTTCAGTTGACACTTGTGTTCGATGTTAATTTAGGACCATTTTGAAATTTTTTTGACACATTTTTTTTGACACTATGCTGAGACTTAGACCAGTTGAACCTGATTTTATATACAACTAGTCAAAAAAAGTTTGATTGCAATCGAACCAGTTTTTATTTTTTGCATATTTTCGTAATCCGCCCCCCCCCCCCTTAAGTGGACAAGGGTAGGGTGGCGCCCACCGGGGGGGGGGGGGAGGGGGGGGGGGGGAGGCTACGGGAGGCAGCATCCCACTACCTGTCAGATGATGAATGAAGCCAGATATATATATATATATATATATATATATATGTCGTACCTAATAGCCAGAACGCACTTTTTGGACTACTATGCAAGGCCCGATTTGCCTAATAAGCCAATTTTTCCTGAATTATTATATTTTCTCTAATTTTTTTTTTATGAAATATAAAACTACCCATTTCATTATGTATGAGGTCAATTTTTTTTATTGGAATTAAAATTAACGTAGATATATGACCGAACCTATCCAACCCTTCCTAACCTAACCTAACCTATCTTTATAGGTTAGGTTTGGATAGGTAGCCGAAAAAGTTAGGTTAGGTTAGGTTAGGTAGGTTAGGTAGTCGAAAAACAATTAATTCCTGAAAACTTGGCTTATTAGGCAAATCGGGCCTTGCATAGTAGGCTGAGAAGAGAGTTCTGGCTACTAGGTACGTCGTACCTAGTAGCCAGAACGCACTTCTCAGCCTACTATGTTCCCAGTAGCTGAATCTTAAACATCGTTACGACAGTTTACCCCGAGCTGAGTGGTTTGGCTAGCTTTAATACATGTTAAGTCCCGAGGGTTGTATAGCTGTTCACTGTATGTATGTTGACAGTATGACACTCATTTTTGTGAATTGTTCTTAACACTTCCAAAACTGAACACGTGTTACCCAAGAGAATAAAGTATTTTAGTATCCCCGACAAATAAATTAAACTGGAGCACAAAACCTCCCAATCCTGTAAAAAGATACTGTATGCTAGACACCCACACAAGATGAACCACCCAGCAAAGAAAACCACGCACCTAGAACGACCCCCACAACTGCACTCTCCATCATGTTTACTGGTCATATTTAACAGCCGCTGGAGAAGACCCACTTCCCACACACCTGTCTCCCGTGACAAGCCTCCTTGTCTCACAATGATGAACTGGAGCTCCTGTAAAGACCCCACACACCCGAACGGCCACATTAAATGTACTCGCAAAATGGTTGGAATGACCTGCACGGGGTCATATCATGTCCGCCGTGGGCTAATCTCTCTCTCTGTCTCCTGGATGCTGGTGGAGACGGAGCCCCGCTGCGGCGTGAGAGGCGGAGCAGATGATGCTGAGTGGCCCATGAGTTCCGGTTATATCTCTTCGTGTTGGTGAGTAAATGGAGAGTGTGTGTGTTAAGCGCTAGCACGCACGGAGGTGGGTGCTGCTTCCGCAGGCATACGCCCTCGGTGCGCCGCCACTCCACACCCCTCTAGGGTGAAGTATGGCGCGTAAAGTCTCACCCATTTGCCTCCTGCCCCCCCCCTCCCCACCTCCTCTCTCTTCCACGCCCCCTTCCTAACCCATTATACCCATCTCCAGTTTCCACCCCTCGCCCATACTTCCCCCCTATCACCCCCGCCCCATACCCTGGCCCCGCCCCCCCACACACACTGGCAGCTGGGGGCATGCAGCAGACTATAATTCTGGCACTGGCACCGTGCAGTAATTCTTGGAATGCAACGGGTGTATAATTCTGATGACCATGATTAATTCCCAGGCGCACGGTAAGATAATTCTGTGTTGCGTCACCCCCAGGGGGTGGGGGGATGCTGGGGTACGAGGG